TCCATTAAAGATTTTAAGAAATATTTACCTAATTCAAGGTCACAAAGATTTTTCCCCTATGTCTTCTTTGAAGAGGTTCTACTTTTAGCACTTATGTTTGTCTACACATTTTTTTCTGTTACATTTTAAGTTAATTTATATGTAAAGTAAGGGGTGACATTCTTTTTCTTTCTTTCTTTCTGGATATGGATAACCAATTTTTCATCATCATTTCTTAAAAAGATCATTTTTCTCCCTGGACATATCTTGACATCTTTTCAAAAATCAAATTGATCATATATGTTTCAGTCTCTTTCTGGACTCTCTCATATTCCATTGGTTTATATGAGTCTATCCTTAAACAAATAACAAGCTATCCTAATGAATGCAATTTTATATTAAGTCTTGTTTTTTTTCTCAAAGTTGTTTTAATTATCCAGGATATTTACAGTTTCACTTAAATTTTAGAATCAGGTTGTCAATTTCTCTTTTGTTCTTTAATTAAAAAAATATAGAGTCTCCCTATGTTGCCCAGGCTGGTCTTGAACTCCTAGGCTTAAGTGATTCTCCCACCTGAGCTTTCCAAAGTGCTGAGATTTTAGGTGAGAGTCACCACGCATGGCCAGCTTGCCAATTTCTTTAAAAAAGGAAAAAAAAAAAGCATGCTAGGATTTTGGATAGGACTGCTTTGAACTTCAGATCAATTCTGGAGAAAACTGACATCTTAATAATGTTGAGTCTTCCAATCCATGAGCATGGTATAGTACAACTCTCCATTTTTAAGTTTTAATTCTCCAAAACAGTTATACAGTTTTCAGTGAGGTCTTATAAATACATTTTCAAATTTATCTATATGTATTTATTTTTAGTAGTATTTAAACACTGGTTTTAATTTCAATTTCTGATTGTTCATTGCTAATATGCAGGGTTTTTGAGTTTTATTTACTGACCCAGTATGCTATGAACAGCTAAACTCATTTATTAGTTCTAACAGTTATTGTTTTTTATTTTTCCTCATAGATTCTCTGGGAGTCTCTACATAAACAGTCAAGTATGTATGCTAAAAAAAAAACTATTTAATTTCTTCCTTTCCAATCAGGATAATCTGCAGTTCCCATTTTTTGAAATGCCTTTGTATGCATTTGGTATTCCAAGTAATGCTGGTCTCATATAATGTTTTTAGCAATTTAACCTCCTTTTCTATTTTTTGCAAGTGTTTGTGTAGAAATGGTATTATTTCTTCATTAAACATTTGATAGAAGTCATCTGAACTACAAGTTTGCTCTGAGGTAAGGTCTTTTACTACAATTCAGTTTCCTTTGTAGCGCTATTAAGGTTAACCATTTCTTCATTAGTGCGATTTGACAGTTTATGTCTTTCAAGGAATCTATTTCATCTATGTTGTCTAATTTAGTAGCATAAATTTGTTTATAATATTTCTTTATTTTTCTTTTAATATCTGCAGTATCTGTAGTGATACACCGTCCTTTATTCTTGATACTGTTAATTTGTGTCTTCCCTTTCTGCATAAGTCTTTGCTATATGTTTACTATTAATATATTTATTAATCTTATCAAGATACAGCTTTTCATTGCATTGATTTTTTCTCTATCGTTTACTTTTATTAATTTTTTCTTTCTTCAGCTTACTCTGGCTACATATGCTCCTCTTTTTTCCTACGTTCTTCAGAATGAAGCTCAGATCATTGATTTTAGGCAATGACCGTACCCCCTTCCCCCTTCCCACCTCCTTTCTTAAACAAAATCACTTAATGCTATAACTCTACACTTGGCACATCATCACCTTCATGTTAAACATTTCTATAGGTTGTGCTATTATTTTCAATTAGTATAAAATTTCTAATGTCCCTTGTAATTTCATCTTTGGCCCATGTTTTATGCAGAAGTGTGTTAATTTCCAAATACTCAGAGACTTTCCAAAAATCTCTCTATAACTAATTTCTGGTCTGTAATTAACCAGAGATCCAAGATCTCAATCTTTCTTAACATTTTAAGACTTTTTTTTAGGGCTGAATATGGTCAATGTGATGAATGTTCTATGTGTATTTAAAATGAATGTATTTTGTGTAGTTGGCTAAAATGTTTTATACATGTGATACAGATCAAGGTGGTTAATAATGTTCCAGTCTTCAGTATGCTTACTGATTTTTTTGTCTACCCGTTCTCTACTGACATAACAGGGAGAGGAGGTCTATATTTTATTCCACTTCTATCCATTTTTGTCTTATGAATTTTGAAGCTCTACTTTTAGATGTATGTAAATTGGAAGATCATTTTCATGAATTGGCTTTTATCATTATGGTATGTCTCTTTTTCCTTTGCTAATATAATGCTTTGTTTGGTAATTGTTATGGGTTGAATTATAACTCTTTAAACGTCATATGTTGAAGACCTAACTTCCAGTACCTCAGAATGTAACAATTCTGAGAGAAAATATTTTAAGAGGTAATCAAGTTAAAATAAAGTCATTAGTGTGGGCCCAAGTCCAATATGACTGGTGTCTTTTTAAAAGGGAGAAACCTGGTACAGAGACATACATAGAGGGAAAACAATATAAAGAGACATAGAGAGAAGACAGGCATCTTAAAACCAGTAAGAGAGGCCTAGAACAGATCCTCCTTCCCTCATAGCTCTCAGAAGGAACAAACACTGATGAAAATTTGATTTTCATCAGACTTCTAGCCTCCAAAACATTTCTGTTGTTTAAGCTACCCAATTTCTGGTACTTTATTATGACAGCCCTAGAAACTAATACAGTAATGATATGGCTTGCTGGCTGTTTTTATTAAGGTAGCGTTTTCATGGTATACTTTTTCCTCTCCATTTGCCTTTAACCTATACATGTATTTATATTTATTTAGTTAATTATTTAGGGACAGAGTCTTACTCTCTTGCCCTGGTGGAGTACAGTGGTGCAATCTTGGCTCATTGCAACCTCCACCTCCCAGGTTCAAGCAATTCTCCTCCCTTAGCCTCCTGAGTAACTGGGATTACAGGCACATGCCACCATGTCTAGATAATTTTTGTATTTTTAGTAGAGACAGGGTTTCACCATGTTCGTCAGGTTGGTCTTGAACTCCTGACCTCGTGATCCATGCACTGTGGCCTCCCAAAGTGCTGGGATTACAGGCGTGAGCCACCACACCCGGCCAATGTATTTATATTTAAGTGAGTTTCTTGGTTGTCAGAGGTAGAGGAGTGGGGGAAATGGGGAGATGTGGTCAAAGTATACAAGGTTTTCATTATAAGATGAATAAGTTCTTGGAATCTAATGTTTAATATGAAAATTATAGTTCATAATATTAAATTGCATATTTAAATTGCTAAGAGAGTAGATCTTAAATGTTCTCACCACACAAACAAAGGTAACTGTGAGGTGATAGACATGTTAATTAACTTGAATGTAGTAATCATTTAACAATGTACATATGTATCAACTCATCATGTGGTAGACCTTAAATATATTGTAATATATATTTGTCAATTATAACTCAAAAAAGTTGGAACAAATTACCAAGTGAAAAAGAAAAAAAAAAAAGAGTGGATTTCTTCAGGGCAGCATATAAATGAGTATTGCTTTTTTATGCAATTTGATTTTTTCCTCCTTTAAATAGCATTGTTTAGGCAAATAGTACTTGAAGGTAGCATAATATTTTTTATTATATTATTTTATAAATAAAACATTGGTGATAAAACTTGAAATAAAAAAATACACAAATAATTTTAGCACATTTTTTATAATAATGTAAAAGTGGAAATAAAGCAAATTTTCACCAATGAGGAGAATTATGCAATTTTGCTATATTCATATTTCAGACCACTAGCAACCAACAAAGATTATGGTGTTTTTTATCTTTTACACATCATGAAATGGCTAATTTGAGCAACTTAATATATGCATTACTCCACAAATTTATCATTTTTTGTAATCTACTCTCCGAAGCTTTTAAGAAAACAATCCACTGTTATTAACTATAGTCACTATGCTGTAAGATAGATCTCTTAACTTATTCTTCCAATCTAACTAAAATTTTATATCCTTTGACCAACATCTTCCCAGTCATCCCACCCTTAACCTCTCACCCTTGGTGGCCACCATTCTACTGTCTACTTCTGAGTCCAACTTTCTTAGATTTCACATATTTGATCATACAGTATTTGTCTTTCTGTGTCTTGCTTATTTTACTTAACAGAATGCCCTCTGGTTCATCCATGTTGTTGTAAATAACAAGATTTCCTTCTTTTTAAAGACTCAGTAGCATTCCTCTGTGTGTGTGTGTGTGTGTGTGTGTGTGTGTGTGTGTGTGTGTGTGTGACCAGATTTTCTTTATTCATCTGCTGATATACACTTAGGTTGATTTCTGTATCTTGGCTATTGGGAGTAATGCTGCAATGAAAACAGGAGTGCAGATATCTCTTTGACATTCTGTTTTCATTTCAGTTAGATAGATACCCACTAGTGGGATTGCTGGATCATGTAGCATTTCTGTTGATACATGCATGTGTGTACCGCTATGATATATATAACATGTGTGTATATATTTAAAATACACACACGTATACCATTATGATATATATATTTTATATATGTATACTTGAAAAGAATAGCAACTATATCTACATATATACATATACATATCTTTTTTAAAAGGTTAGTATTTAAACTTTCCACCAAAGAGATAAAAAGTAAATCTTACAAAATACATCTTCCTTGGGGTAAGGTTAGGCAATCTTTTATTTAATGATTATTTGCTAAGTATATAGTCTGCTAGACACTATGGCATATGCTAGGGAAAACAGTATATTATAATGCAGTTTAGTCAAAAGAAAATTTAATACACTAATAATCATTATTTACTATGAAACATAAAATAAAGTTATAAATTTCAAAATGAGTGAGAACATTAATATAAATTAATGTTAATAAGATATTAATACTAATTAATTAATATGACTATTAAGACAGATTGCTTTCCCCATATTTCTCATATAAAATAGTACCTGGTTTGAGGCAATCCAAAACTCGTTCCAATGCCAACACGAGGTAGACAGTTAACCACTTTCTTTACTACTGCAGGGTCTGGGAAGTTGAACATTACAGCAACTACAACAAATAATTTAAAAAATTAGAACACAGTATAGTTTCCTTTCTGGAAAACTGACTCACTGGTCCAATAAAATATTTACTTTTAATTCAGGTATCTATTAAATATAATTTTTACTACATTCCTTTTATTATAGTATATATCAGGATTTAGTATTAATATGCTAGTGGTAATATTCGTTTCACTTAAAAACTCCTTTACCATAGACAGTTCCTTCCTAAATACTATTAGGAGTTATAACAATTGATGTTGCATTGATGTGACATGAAGCTGAGATTATGAAACATGATAATAATAATGATAACAACAGCTGAGATAATGTGACATGAAGCTGCAACTTTAAATTTACAAAATTGAATTTTGGCAAGCCAAAGGTAGTTACAACAATTTCTAGAAACAAACATTAAAACATTTAAGTTTATATAGTTAAACAACACCAAAAAACTACCAATATACCTATAAAATAATCAGTTACTTTTTTTCCCAATCATTAAGTTTTAAAACAGCTTTTTATAATGTGTATATGTTTATTCTTCATATGTTCAGATGAGCACATGTTCATATAATACAAAACAATGTGTGACCTGAAGGAAAAGTTTTCCTCTGTGGCTAGAAATCAAATTTAAATGTTTTCTCATCCTATTTCAATAATTACACATACAAGAGAATACCAAGAAGTACATGTCAATATGTAAACATATTTAGCATATAAATGTTAATTTATCAGAGTAATCTATAAATTTTTACCCATCTAAAGAACATGAAAGTAAAATCATACAATTATGAGAGAGAGTTTAGAAGATATTCATTGGGTCAGTCAGAATATATATATTCTAATATATTCTAATATGTATTCTATATGTAGAATATATATATGATCTATATATATAGAAAAAAATATATTTTTATCTGTGTGTGTGTGTGTGTGTGTGTGTGTGTGTGGCCTTTAAATAAGCCGCCTTTACATATTCACTATTACACTGAATTCAGGGGGAAAAAATAAGTAGAAGATAAAACCATCGTAGGTTATAGCAGATGGTCAAGGCCATGAGGCAAAGGCTACAGAAAACACATATAAAAACAAGTATGCATAAGAAATTTCAAAGAAGAAAATGAATGAGGATGAGCAAGTAATAAGTATTGTAAGACTAAAGCCCCTTTGGGACAGCAAGGATGTGGAATGAACTAAAGTGTGAAACATTCTCTTGATTATTTGCCCAGAAGAATAATGTTTACATTAGAAGACGAGGTATGTGCCAGGAGGAGATCAAAAAGGAAAGAGAAAAATCTTTTCCTAAAGAAATTTGTATTCCCTAAAGACAGGTAATTTCACAAAGGAAAAACAAAATGTCTGTGTGGAATACATGCAGTTATGTATGTATTAAAAGTTATGTATGCTTTAAAAGTAAGAAACCATCAACCCATGTATATATAATAACAGGAATATGTACAATAAATCAGTAGGTTTTACATATATTCCATTGTATGCCTCCACTCATAACAAATGATGCTTTTCCTTCAAGTTCAACTTGTCTCCCCGCTTCTTGTCTTAACGGATTTCACCAAGTTCCGTTGTAAAACTGCAAATTAAATTTTAGTTTGACTTTCAAGGATGATTTAATACAGATCAAACAGGACAGATCAGTATCATTTTCTCATGGTTCCTTTATAAAAGCAATATATCAGACAAAAGATTAAGTAGGTGTATGAATCTTTTAATCGTCCATTCCTCTCCCAAAATGCAGACACCTTCCGTTAGGAATGTAAGCATCAGAGCAATGCTCAGGACATCAAAACTCCTCTTTGACCTGATTAAATGGTTTTGTATTCCTTATGTTTATAAAGTCTTTTACCAATTTGATATGGCCACAAAATATTACAAATGATTTGACTAATAATCAAGGTGGGAAAAATCATGAAGAAGCATTTAGTTCAAAAAAAGAGGTCACTAGAACAGAGGGTGGGCTACAAAGTACTATCTAAATTGAAGCAATATGGTATGTTCAAAAATGCTATCTTAAAGAGATGAAAGTTCGCTTTGTAACAATGTACTTCTGTAATATATTACCTCTGTTTGCCATAAAGATCTCCAGGGCTGTATTTTGCAAAAGATAACGACGAGAAAAGATTGATCGTATCTCTGTGAACAGCCATTTTCCATGCAACCCTTCTGTATACGCCAGGATCTAATGAGGAAAAAAATAATCCCAGGTAAATGACAATATTCATTTTTTGTTGTTGCTTCTCTCCCCAGTCAAAATAGAAAATACCCTTTTATGAAAAATAATTTAATAGTTATTTACGTAATTTGGAGATTAAGAAAATCAATTGTAATTTATGGAAAAGAAGTTTAAATTAAAAAAGCAAAGTAAAATGATAAAACATTTAAGTATATATTTGGGCTTTTAAAAACAATGATGTAATCTACTGCTTCTGAGGAAATACATATTACATCATTTACTGATTGATTTTTTAAACCACACTATGAAAGTAAAACTTCAGATAAAATCTTAGAAATAAAGACCTCAAAAGAATGTCATATATTCTTATAAATCACATACACAATTCAGTTTCACATGACTATAATTTGCCCAATAGTGCTTTACATACATTATAATATAAATATATTCAGTTCATAACTTTAAAAAGAATGACTCTTTTAAGGTCACTGTTAAGGCAACAGTCACTCACTCAGAAAGCACAAAGACCCGACTATATAAGAAGTTAAGTATCATTTTGTCAGCTAAAGCTAAACACAAACCTGCAAATGAACTCAGCATAATCTCTCTATGGGGTAGGTGGTTGTCAGAGTAACTTGTTACAATTCTTGTCATCCCAAGTGACAGACACAGTTGCTTAAAATGCTTTGCCAATTCAAAGTAATCCTGCCTTTAGTCCTAAGCCACTTTGTTGCTTTGTTATTCAAGTTTTGTTTTTTAAAAAGTTCATTTCAAAGGCTTAATTGTGAAAGTGTTCAAGGAAAACCAGACTCAGCATTTCTCTACACCAGTACTATACATAATATTAACAAAGGTTGCTATCAAAACCTGATAGTCTATGAAAGCAAATTAAGTTAAAAAAAATTAAGATACATCTCTCAAAAGTAACCACCATTAAAAATTACAAATGAAACATTTGATTATGATATTGCATTGCAGGAATAAAGTTGGGATGTGCAAAGAGGAAAAATAACAACTAGTAAAAATTTATCCTTCTCAAACTGTTTTTTCTTTATTCATTTTCATTTTCAAAATCCTAATGGTAAATAAATCTACATTCTTCAATGCAAAATGTATTTTTGAAAAAACAAAAGTAACAATCCTTATTCAAGTCAGTAAGTATGTATTTCAATCTTTCTACAAAAATGATTCTATTTCTGACACCACAGAATCTAGAAACAGAAAGAATGGGTATAACTCTAATGGGGAGTGTTTTCTGAAAATACAAAACAAAAAGTTCAATGGACAAGATAATCATGCATGCAGTTTTGAAATGGATCACAGAGAAATCCTACTAATTCAGTAACATAATCAATACCTATGTAAAATCAAGGTAAATGAGCAGGAAAAGAGAGGACAAAAATAGTCATATTACTCTCAGAGACTGCAGGTATCCCTTTCTTGCACTATGACCAGAGATACCACCAGGTGGTCCATGGCCTCAGAGTCTTCAGAGGCCTCCATTTGTTCTCTCTCCTATTCTTACCTCTGAAGTCTACTATGACCAGATTTTAAAATACAAATCAGATCACATCATTCTTATAATTAATTGTATCCAGTGACTTCCCATGACATGTAAAATAAACTCTTAAGCTCTTTATAATTGCTAATAAAGCCTCATATCTGGGACTGCCTGTGAGCTCAACTCATTCTTCCTTAGGGTCTTGTTTTGTCCTTGTTTTCCACCCTGCCTGGAATGTTCTCCCAAATCTCCACATGGTTCGCTCATTCTCACATTTAGATTTCTCCTCTTATGTCATCTCTGCAGGGAAGCCACAGGGTTTAAACCCCACTTCCTCTATTAACAACTCATCCCAACCCTAACTCATGAGATTTTCTTCCTAACACTTAACACTACCTGAAATTTTTAAGAGTTAATTTAATTTTTGAGACAGGGTCTTGCTCTGTGACCCAGGCTGGAGTGCACTGATGTGATCATGGCTCACTGCAGCCTCAACCTCCTAGGCTCACCTGATCCTCCCAGCTCAGCCTCTTGAGTAGCTGGGACTACAAGCACATGCCACTACATCTTGCTAACTTTTAACTTTTTTTTTTTGTAGAGACAAGTTTTCACCATGTTGCCCAGATTGGTCTTGAACTCCTGGGCTCAAGTGATCCTCCTGCCTCAGCCTTCCAAAGTGCTGGGATTATAGGTGTGGGCCACTATATCTTGCCACTACCTGAAACTATAATATTTGCTTGCTGGTCTATTGTCTCTTCAGCATTACAATACTAGAATCTAAGTTCTATTGGAGAAAATACTTTGAATACATCCTATTAACATTGCCTAGAAAAATATCTGGCACAAAGTTGCAATTTTCAGAATGACTAAATGAATCAATGTATGGCAACCTACATTCCATATCTGACCCACATGATATTTTAACAAAATTTCACATGCTTGAAAATAGTTGAGAAAACAGATATTTGTAAAAATATTTGGATTCCCATCTTCTCAAGAAAAACTGGGGTATCCAGCAAACCTGGATCTATATGCCACATGGTAATAACTGGCATGCACTCTCTATTTTGGTACTACTTCACTTATTACTATTCACTAGTGTGATGTCAGCATTCACTCATTTACTATTATCTACCTAGTTTCCATTGGTATTGAGTTTGCTACCCTAGATTTACCAAATATTAGAGAATCAAATATATGTTCTGCAACATTTATAGTCCAATTTATACAAAAGAAAAACAAGAGCCAGGGCCAGTGGCTTACAGTGGTAATTCCTGAGCTTTGGGAGGCCAAGGTAGGAGGACTGTTTGAGGTCTGGCAACACAGCAAGACCCATCTCTACAAAAAATTAAATAATTAGCTGGGCATGGTAGCCCACACCTGTAGCCCTAGCTACTCAGGAGGCTGAGATTCGAACATCACTTGAGCCCAGGAAATTGATGGTGCAGTAAGCTATGATTGCACCACTGCACTCCAGCCTGGGCAACAATAGGAGACCGTGTCACTAAAAAAGAAAACAAAGAACAATGAGGCCTAGACATGTTAAATATTTGATACAAAATTCCCTAGCAAGTTAGTGGCAGAATCTAATCTAGTCCCAGGTTATCTAATTCAAAAATACAGAGCTTCCATTGTATATACCTCACTGTCACATTTCTAAGAAAGAGTTAAATATCTGTTAAACTAGAATCCAACTAACTACATTTGCTTAAAATTTTCCTGCACTTGGGTTAAAGAGAAAAAGGAAAATCAAAGGAAAACCAACAACAAAAAATCTTTTAAGCTCTTTGATATGTTAGGAATATTACACATTGGTCTGAAAATTCTACCTTTTGTATCTACAGAGACATATAATAAGACCTGTTGTGCATAATAGTGCATCCAATCATTGCAAAATCATGATCGTACAACTAAAGATTTGATCATATTCTAGATTACACTATTATTAGCAGAAATTAGTATATCAAAGCATTTTTATTAGATTTTTAATGTACTGAAATGGTTTTCTGATTAAGCAAAATATGCCACTTATATTCCATTCCCTTAAACAGTATAGTTATTCAAAGATCTACTTGAAACACAGTAAATGTCATAGTCCTTTAAAATTTGTTTTATTCCAATGTCAAAAATACTTAAAAGTAAGGAAAATGACACAAGGTCCATGCATCTACTACTCAGTAACCTTATAAAATCATAACACATTGCCATATTATTGTATACATCTATAAGAAATTGATAAATGCATTAGAGACAGTCTTAAAATTGACATGCATAACCCTTCTTGATCCCATTTTCCTCCTCTGTCACAGCCAATCACTATCCTTGTTTTCAGGGTTATCATCTGCATGGAAGTTTTTATACTATTAGTACATATATATCCATAAATAACACAACCACATCACTTTGTATGTTTTCAAAGCTGATATAAATGTTATCATACTAAATGTATAACAGTATGCTTTTCAAGCTAAATATGACAGTTTAATGAAGTTTTAAAACTTAGAGAAGGAAAAACAGCATGAGATGGAAAATTATTTAAAATTGCCAAAGGTGTCAAAAATCAAAATCTTACACACACAAAATAGCTAGCCTAATCTTTTAAAAGAAAAAAATTAAATAAAATCCCACAATTAGGGTCAAAAAATTTGAGATTTGAAATAGAAACTAGCAATCTCTTAACTAAAGCATTACCAGCTGAAATTTATATAATAATATTTCTTTAAGTATTCATTTGGGAAAGGTGTCAGTACTGAAATGCAGCTGAGGCCTAGCTAAGCAAGGGGTTCATTTCTGATTGGAATAGTATATGCCTGGTCTGAGGCTTCACTTCAAAGTCTCTAGAGTTCAATTAAAACTGGATTAGGTAGAAACAGACTCTTCTTTGGGACTTTCTGTTCACTGAAACTCTACACACACTGACAGCACCTTAGACAGAGGTCTAGCCCTCCAATGAATCAGTTGCCATAGAAACCGTATCATTACCATTGCTCTGAAGTTATGACCTCAACTCCAGAATAGCCTGAAATCTTTACTCTCTTTGAATCTTTACCACCTTTTTTTATTATTGTTAGTATTAGTAAATTAAACTTTCAATTGTTTTAAATAATTTGTTTCAAAGCTGGTTTATTAACTAAATGTTGACAGTGTGTTAGGAGAGAAAGGACTTAGTATTTTAAATATATATTATATACAGACATATTCTATTTCTTTACTTTAAAAAACTTAAACCTATCTTCTTTAAAAGTTTTATCTGAAAACTATGCCTTCTGAAAAGGATATATTATTTTTCCCAAATAATGCACATATTTCTTCCTTCTGTCCTACAAATAGTGTACTATGAACACATAAGAAAATTTCTTCACTTTGTTGCACTTATTCTTAGTAGAGGAAGGCATTTTTGACTTTCCCTTTACCAGTCCATTTGTAAAAGCTTATAAATTTATCCAAATAAAACTCTCTTTTGTTTTCTTATCCTTACGAAAGAACAAAAACAGAAAGCTACATT